ATGGGCCCCAGGAGAGTCCCCAGAGGCACCCAAGACGCCCCAAGAGGCCTCGGCGAGAAGGCCACACACACACACACACACACACACACACGCACGCACGCACGCACGCACGCACGCACACACGCACACACGCACACACGCACACACGCACACACGCACACACGCACACACACACACACACAAACACACACACACACACACACACACACACGTGTGTGTTACTAAGGCGTTGGCCACATGTTGGCCTCCGGGGAGGGGGTCAAATTAAGGAGCCCGCCTCCCTTGATCGGTCTCTTCCAAAATGGCCCCAAAATGGCCCCCGAGGCTCTGAAGGGGTGCCCAAATACGGCCTCAACAGGTGCTCAAAAGGCCCCCCAAAGCCCCCGAGAGGCCCCCAAGGTGCCGCCAACAGGCTCCCCAAAGACCCCCAAGAGACCCCAAGAGTCCCCCCGGAAGCACCCACGATGCCCCAAGAGGCCCTCGGTATTGCCAATAGTCCCCCAAGACCCCCCCCCAGAGGCAGCCAACAAGCATCTGGCCTTTCTGCTCGCCCTCCTCCTGCATATCCTCATCCTTCTCCTCTTCCTCCTCCTCCTCCTCCTCCTCCTCCTCCTCCTCCCTCCTCCTCCTCCTCCTCCTCCTCCTCCTCCTCCTCCTCCTCCTCCTCCTCCTTCTCCCCCTCGCCCTGCTCCTCCTTCTCTTACTCCTCCTCCTCCTCCTCCTCCTCCTGCTCTGCTTCTCCTCCTCCGACTCATCCCCCGGTTAAACCATCTTGGGGTATTACGTCTTACCCAACCCTTTATTCCACTGCATTATCTTGCACATCCCTAACCAGGGCGACTATCCTGGGCATCGTGACTGGGTGGCCTGGTGGCGTCAGGGAAGCGTCTAGAGTAGGAAGTTTCGCAACAAAAACGCTTGGTGCAGCTCAATGGCGCGATCGTGCTGGGCGGACTCCAGCTGGACGCCAAAGCAAGCTGTGAAACGGTAGATAGAGACTCTGGCGAGGATGGGAGCGGACACTGTGTTGGTTTCGGGCGCTTCGACATTTGTGCAGGGACCGACCGCCCCGGCATCCCTACAGGCCTACCACGGAATTTTCTGAGAACCCCCAACTGTGCGAAAAAAACAAAACAATGTTCTTAGAACATCAACCCGTTGTGTTCAAGCAAGACAGCCCCATGTAAAAAACAGACAATTGGAACATTCTTTGGTGGGCCTATAGGCAAGCCGGGACGCCTCGCCACTGCTTGAGATATGGGCTTGAGATCTGACATCGCGCACCCAGTCCAGCATGCTGCAGGGAATGCTGCTTCACTGTGCCGACTCCGCGAGAGTCTGGTCAGGCGAAGCCGTCCCATGCCGGCTGCGAGATCAACCCTCGGGCCCCGCAGGTGCCGCACAGGCCGGGCGAAGCCGCGACTGCTTGTGTGGCAGGGAGGAAAAAAGGGGGAGGAGGCCCTTCTCCAAGAGAGAAGCCGCGTAGCTGACACTTAGCTTCATCATGAACACCTTAGCGACGATCAAAAACGGGTCTTACGCGAGATGACGTAGCGACCTTACGCGGCGGCCTACGCGGGCCGCCCGCGCGGCACGCTACATTTCAGACGTGGGCGCTTAGGCGCGACCTTACGCGGGCAGCTTATGCGCGAATGTCGTTGCAGACGACCCTTTTTCTCTTGCGTCGCTCACTTGGCACTCGTCACATCAAGGGTGGCCTTAGGTCGATGGCACCCCCCTCCATGCTGCCCCCCCCCGTTGCTCGCCCCGGGTCCTTCGTCGGCGCGCACGCGGGGATGGGGCAAGACGGGGGGGGAGCCTTCCAAGAAGGCTCTCAGGACTCGCCCTCGTGCCTTCCAGGGGGCCTTCTTATCGGAGCAGGGCGCGTTGAGACAGCGGCAGATCAAAATCGCTCCCCAGACCCCTCTCGGGGTCCAAACGCACCAGTTCTCCGAGCTGCGTCCAGCTGTGGCGACGAGGGCCCCCCCGAAGGCCAACTGCCGTTGCCTCAGCTGGCCCCCTTTCTGATCTCAGGAATCATGCGAGAAGAGGGCGATCCCCTTCAAGAAAAAGGTTCTGTCGGGCGTTGGCGGGACTGGGTTCAATGGGACCTGGTCCAGTGATGTGTGCCAGGGGACGCCCCCCTCGCCGAATTCCACTAACCCGAATTGCCGCCACCCGAAGAAGCACCAACTACGCCAGACTAAGCTGTGATAAGTTGCTTGGCTTCGGGCCCCATCACTAACCAGCTCCCACGGGGCCCTGGTCACACCCGATTCTGGCCTTCTTCTGGAAAACACCCCACCCAGACCAAACTCCGCTCAAAACCTGACCCCGGGCCCCTCCCCAGCCAGCGGCCCGAGCTACGCCCCACCCCGCGGCCACGAGGGACCTCCATGAGACCTCCCGAACAACAAAACAAAAATAAGCACAGAAAGAAACAAAAAACAAAACAGCCCCAGCCGGGCTCGCTCCTGGGCAGCCCTCCCTGGGCAATGTGGCCCGAGCGTCCCACCGTGGCAACCAAGGACACTCCAGGCTTCATCCAACAAAAATTCGCCGGCCCAACGGGCCAGAGGCGTGCTGATCTCCGGTAGCAGGTTAACAGTATTTCTAGTTCGCGCGCGCGTGGCGGCCCCTGAGGACCCCTGGACGAAACGAAAAACCGGGGCGATGCCCGGCTGATGTCTGGCCGATGCCCGGCCGACTCCCCCGGGGAGCTCCAGGAGCGCGCCAAGAGGGCGCCAGGACGCCCCCGAGAGGCCCCAAATCGCCGAGAAAGATCATTCCAACACGCTCAAGATGGTCTCCAGACGGCCCTAGAGACTGCGCAAAATCCCTAAGAGAGCCTCAAGAGGCTCTCCAAGAAGGCCCAAACAAGCAACAATCGCCCAATTCTCTTCGGATAACTTACATGTGTGCTCGCATGTGCAACGTTTCTCGTCTTGTCAGCTTTTCAACGCTCGAAGACTGCCCCCGAGGACCCCAAGACCGAGCCACGACGGCCCAAGAAGCCTCCAGAAGGGCCCAAAGACGGCTCAAGATGGCCCCGAGACAGCCCAAGGGGCGCCCAAGAGGGCCCCAAAACGGCCCCAAGAGAGGCCCCCAAGAGGCCCCAAGGGGCCCCCAAGAGGCACCCCGAAAAGCCCCAAGAGGCCCCTAAGAGGCCCCAAGATACCCTAACACGGCCCCCAAGATGCCTCAAAACTGCTTCCAAGAGGCCACCAAGAGGCCCCAACAGGGGGCCCAAGCGGCGAGGCAATATGGGCAGGCGGAATGAGCGAAGCGATTGAATAAAGAAACGTTCAGAAATTCGCGGCGATAATCGGCGTTCTGGGGGCGGGCGCGTTATGTTTTTTTGGGGGGGGTCGAGAGGTGTGGCATAACGCGCGTTATGGGCCGGAAGGTCAAGCCCAGACATCCGACGACGTGATTTTGTCCGTGTGCGGCCCAGCCCCACGGGTCCCGACCCCATCCCCGATGGTTGCTCTTCGTCGAAGATCCATATCTGATGGTCCTGGGGCCCGATGTCGATCCCCCATAGCCTGCGATCGCTCTGACGTCCATTCCCCGTGCATGTGTCAGTTTCGTGCGTGATTTCAAATTTTCTGGCGCTGGCCTGGCCAAACAGAAACAATATTCAGACGTGCGAGCGATTCCAAGATAGAGGCCTCCCAGATGGGGTCCGAGTTCATGGGGTCGGAGGATCGCACCGCATCGCCGATGAACCAGCGATGCGTCGGCGATGCATCGGCGCTGTCGGCGTGGAGAGAATCGGGCTCCACATCGAACCGCATCGGCGATGAATCGGCGATGCAAAGCGATCTCCCGACCACATCTACTGAGACACCATGTAGGAGACCTAGGATAACAGTCCCCCAAGGGCTGAAACAGAACAAAGGCGCGCGGCCTGATCAAACAAATCGCCAGAGATCTAGAAACAGCGCCACACAGGACCTCCCAAGAGGTTGAACCTCCCGCCGGACGCCGACGAAAAAAGGAGGGACGATAGGGGTGGACTGGCTCAGGGGGGGGGAACATCGAGCTTCAATCGGCGATACGTCGCCGATGGACCGGCGATGTGCCCCCGATGGCGAATCCGCACGGTCCTGGGATGGGTGGGCTCTCAGGCCGCTGTCGGCGATGCATGGGCGCTTCGGGGCCGCTGCGTCCTCCCACCCTTGGCCAGCCCCCGTCCCTGGTGGCTTGGGGACCATCACTCGGGCCTACGGCGGCCGCTCGGGACGGCCTGGGCACCTCCGCAAAACGCTCTCGGCGAGGCGCGGCTGCTGGAGGGCATCCCCAGGCCAGAGAGCAGCCGAGATCCGACGAGCACGCCCGAAAACCTCGGACCTCGAGACTGTTGGCTCCTCCGCGAGCCTGTCGGATAGGCTCTCACTGAGGAGCGGCAGCCTCGGACAGGGAGAGGCCGGGCATGTCCTCCTACAGGCGGGTTTTGGAAGAGAAATGACAAATAGTCAAAACATACTCCCAATAGTGGAAGAATAATAGAAAAGTCGCCCGCAGACTATTTTGATGTATTATTTGTTGGATACTCCCCCTGTAGAGGGACAGGCCCGACGTAACCCCGTCCCTCCCCGCTCTGCGAGAGGCGCGGAGCGCGCGAAGAGGGGGGGCCGGGGAGAAGCGGGGTTGGCACAGATGGGCCCGAGGCACGTGCGCGGACGAGGGGGGGGGGCCTCCTCCTCCTGCTCCTCCTCCTCGTCCTCCTCGTCCTCCTCCTCGTCCTCCTCCTCCTCCTCCTCCTCCTCCTCCTCCCCCTCCTGCTCCCCCTCCCACCCTGAACATCGAACCCCCGGGTCAACCAGAGTGCGTTCTGACCAGAATGTCGAAGCGGATCCAGCCGTGGCCACGAGGGCGCCCCAGGACGGCCAGGAACCTCCAGAGAACGAAGCTCGATCCTCGGTCCTCGAACCCCGAGCCTATCCCCCCTACTGCTGCCCTTGAAACGACCTCCGCCCCAGCTCCCTTTGCCGCGCCTGGAACAGCTGCGGCGTGGGCGTCAGGGAGGCAGAGCTCACGCCGCTGACGGACGCGATGCCACCCCGCTTGCCCCTGCTCCCCGTGCCCGGGGTGTCCATGCCTCGGCGGGGAGTTAGGAAGCAGCCTTCAGGAGGACTTCGCAAGAACGAGTAAGGCCGAGCAAGCCCGGCTAAGGGGCCATGAAACCAGAGAAGGCCCGATTCAGCAAAGGATTGTGCCACATTTCGCGGCATCAAGCCAGATTGAGCCCAGATGAAGCAGGATTTGACATGATTAACCCAGATTAGGCCTGTTGTCGACCAGGGAACATCAGCGACGATCCTGAGTTTGAACCTCCCAAGAGTTGCATCCTGATCCGGGCGTTGCGTATGCTTCACACCGTCCGAATTCGCACAATTTCGGGCCCCAGACCATCACAGATCGATAAGGCTGGAAAGATGGCGCAGAAAGACTGGGTCTGGGGCCTCCTCCTCCTCCTCCTCCTGCTCCTCGTCTCCCTCCTCTGCGTCCTTCTCTCTCCCCCTCCTCCCAAGATGGCCCTACGAGGTTTCTGCGAGGCTCCCACGACAACTCGTCAAAGCATCGTTTCTGAATGGAATGGATGCTTTGCTGGATGGACTCTTCTGTCGCCGCCAAGATCGGGTGCTCCACAACTCCATCTGGGCGCCTCTTCCCGGCCTCTCCACTGTTACGAAAAAGACTGGAACCAACCATACAGCTGCCTGTCAGCTCACCCGAGAAGATCGTACAGAGGAATGCGCGAGAAGTTCCCTCGTCGGCACACCTCCTTACGACTCGCTGCTGATGGGCTGGTGGGGATACATGAAGCGGCAATGATGAAACACCATACGGCACGTTGGGGCACAAATGTATCAGCCGTCTTAGGACAAACGTGGTGTGAACAACTATGTTATACCGTTATCCGTCCGCCAAGTGACGAAGAACATGCTGATGCGGACTGACCTAATCAGTGGAGCCACAGTCGATGGGGTCGGTGGGTCGCAAGGCGTCAGCGCTGCATCGGCGTGTCGGGGTTGACTCAATCGGGTGCTAGATCGATGCGGCGCGATCCTCCGACCCCGTCCACTTCGGTCCCATCTGGGCGGTCTGGAACTGGCGGGGGGGGGGGGGGGGGGGCAAGAAACATAAACACATGTGCAACTTTCGTGTACCTTGTGGGCCCGCGGTGGCAATTTAGATGCCGTCAGGGCCCCGTCAAGGCCACTTTCATGCAACCCTCGCTCCCCCCAACGTCTATCCGAGTACTCTTCATAACTACAACGGGGGGTCATACAGCTCAGGGTTCGGGGGATCGTAACCCTCTCTTGCTGGCAACTCGCATGTACTGGGGTAGGGATGGGATGTCAGGTGACAACCCCACATCCCTGCCACGCGCCCGTGGCAGTGTTCCTGCTCGATCCCCCCAGCGTCTGTTGCCCCACATGCGCCCGACTGGATTGTTTTTTGGGACGTTTTGCGAAGACCAACGTGCGTGGGAGCGAGGATGCGGGGACAGCAAGCGACCACAACCACATCGAGGACACACTCTGGGGGCTGTCGTGCGCATGCCCACAATGGTCAGAACACCGAAACAAGCTTCGTACTGGTTGTGGTCGATGTTGCGTCCCCGGACGGCCAAACCGACCACAACCACAACCAAAGTGCTCGTGCCGAAGTCGGTGAGTTCTCCCCCGATGGGCCCTCCCGAAAAATCGACTCAGCTGTGGTTGTGGTTCTCTGTTGTGCCCAGAGAGGAAGGGGGAAAAAGAAAGAACGGCCCGCCACCCGGAAGTTCCCGCGAGGAACCCCCCCCAGCCACCTCGGCCGTCAGAGGGGGCAGAGGGGGGCGCCACCAAGGGCGGGGAGGGGTGGGCGAGCGTCGCCCCCCGTGGGCCGCACCGGCAGCCTCGGAGGCGCCGGCCGACACAACTCAGGCATGGGCGCGGTCCCGTTGGCCCACAGGTGCACAACCATATTCAAATTCCGAGCTTTCGGCCCCAGAGGCTCCCAGGAAGGCTCCCCAGAGGTCCCAAGAGGCCCCCAAGAGACCCCCAGGAGGCTCCCAAGAGGCACCCCAGTAGAGCCCCATGGGTTAGCAAACGTCGTCGATATGGTTGGCCCGAGTAACAAAGGGTCGGAGGCTCTCTGCGCCCGACTGGAATGGCAGAGCACGCCCCACGGCACCTCGGCCTCCACCCTCCGAGCCGCCCGCGAGGGGCGGGCGCCGCCGAGGGGCCGCCGCGGCGGCGGCGGCCTCCGAGACGCGCGGCATCTGCCGTGCGGAAAAAGCCGTGGAGGGACGACGACGACGACGAAGGCGACGGCGACGACGGCGTCGACGAGGCGGGGACGACGATGACGACGACGACGACGCGGGTTGTCAGGTGGGTCGACGGGTGGCCGCTCTTGGCCCGCCGGGGTGCCGCTGGTGATGGAGGAGACGCCGCTGATGCTCTTGACGCCGCCCTCCATGGACACCACGGGCGTCGCGCTGCCCGAGCCCACGAGGGGCGTGGCCGTGCCCAGCATCGGCGTGGCCGACCCGTCCTTGCCGCCCTCGGCGCCGTCGGCCTGCGGGAAAGGGGGAGGCCCCCGCCGCCGCCACCCCGCTGGGCCCGGCCCAGCCGCTCATGGGGAAGCAGGCAGTGGCACAACCTCGAGAAACTCGGAGGTTCTCGCGCGTCGGGCCCTGCGAGGCGAGGCTCGCTCGGCACCGTGTCGACAGTTTGCTGGGAGCTCGAGATCATCTCTGGGATTCGGTCCTCAAGCACGATGGGACGATGGGGGTGGCAAATGTGGAAACGAACAACGACATAAACATACGAAAAGGTCCGCGCGTGATTCTCGGATCGGCGCTGGACCCCCCTCCCTGGCGCGCGGAGCGCGCCAGGGGCGGCGCCGGAGGCGCCGCCAGGGGTTTCCAGCGCGGATCCGAGAAATCCGCGAGGACCTTCTAGTTATATGTTTCTGTCATTAACCGTTTCCCTATATGTTGCTCCCATCGTACGTAAGGGCCAAATCCCAGAGATGATTCCGAGCACCCAGAAAACCTATCGAAACAGTGTCGAACGAAGATTGCCTCGCAGGGCCGGACACGCGAAAACCCTCCAGTTTCGATACTTTCTTGGTGCTCGAAATTCCTTCTGGTGATCACGGCTAAAGTAGGTTGGCCATAAGCCCAGCCGCTCGGGGCGCGGCCGGCGCAAGCGGCCAAGGATGGACCGAGGGGGGAAGGATGCCAGGGGGTAGTCTTGGAAAGCCGCTCATCCTTACTGTGCGGGTTGCAAGGCCACACGGTCCTGGACGGGGTGGGCTGTCGGGCCTCTGTCGGCGATGAAGGGGCGATTCGGGGCCGCTGCACCCCGCCCTGATCGGCGGTGGACAAACCTCCCTTTAGTAGACCTCCCCTTAATGAAAGCGGCCTGGGACCGAAACCGACGGACCTGGACCCGCAAAAATGACGGCCGCGACGCCCTCTCGCGAACAGAAAACGGCCGATTCCGTAATCGACGTGTCAGGGTAGGAGGTCTATCCACCCCCGCCCTGAGCCAGTCCCTGTCCCCCGGGCCTCCGGCGGCCGTTCGGGACGATCTTGGCACCTCCGAAACGCTCTCGGCGAGGCGCAGCTGCTGGAAAGCATCCTCGGCGATGCATCACCGACGTCTCCGATGCATTGGTGATGCATTTGGCGATGCATCACCAATGCATCGGTGATGCATTGGCGACGTCGGCGATGCATCGGCAACCTCGGAGTAGAGAGAAAATCGGACCCCATTTGGGAGGCCTGGATGGGTGCGGTGGGAGTCCCCAGCCTCGTCGTCCTCGTCGTCCTCGTCAAAGTCGTCCACCTCCCCCCACAGGGTGGTCTCGTCCGCCGCGGCCGTCTCCTTGGCAGCGTCCTGCTGCCGCCAATCGCCGTACAGGGGGTTGCCAAACTCGTCTACTGGAGGCTTGCCCCAGCCGCCGGCGTGGTAGCCGTACTCGGCTCCCTGATCAGCTGGGCGCACGAATGACCATATAGGCACGAGTGCCCTCTGGTGCGCGGCTTGAGAGGGGGGCCAGAGGGGGGGGCGAGCCGACCCCGAGCGCCCGGACAGCTGCCGTCGCATCAAATTCAGCAATCGCTTGATGGGCCGATTTTTCACCACCACTACCATCGGTAGGACATGGAGGAGGAGGAGGAGGAGGAGGAGGAGGAGGAGGAGGAGGAGGACCTCCCCATCCTCCCTCCTTCCCCGTCCTACGTAGTATGGTAGTGGTGGTGGACAACTGGCCCATCATCGGTGGACCCCAGTGGGCCGGCACCAAAGGACACTCCATCCAAGGGTCAATCTTGCCCTGAGATCCGACGTCGCGAGAAAAATAATCGTCGTCAAGCATAACGACCAGAACTTGAGACACCTTCTTGCCGCGGCAATTCCCGAGAGAGGTCGACCCGTGACGGCTCCAGGACACAATACAGGGCGACATCGTCGAGGTGAGAACAATGCGACACTAGGATCTCAGTGGCCGTGCAGTCTCGACCTGAGGGATCGGCGCGTTCAACCCCGGGATCTTCAAGTTCGGGTACGCTGGCGGAGGCCCGTACCTCTGCATATTGATGAGCCAAGGGGGCGGAGCATCATCCGCCATGCCGAGCGCAAACTTCAGTGCAGCACTCAGCTGACCGGGTCTTTTGGTCATCATCTTGGTCTCGTACTCCTTACCCTCCCAGTACAACTCGTTGTGCTTTGTCAGCTTCGGCTTCGTTGCGAATTTGAAGAACGCGTCGTGGAGCACCTGGTAGTCAATGTCGAGCTTTCCCATCTTCGGGTGCACCTTGTCACGGTTCTTCTGCTTCAGGCTCTGCTCCTTGTGTTTGTCCATGATCGCCTGGGTGGCTTGACAGCAGCATGTCGCGCAAGCGATAGGAAGAGGGAAAAGAAGTGGGGAACAACTTTCGGACACTCCCGAGAGACGAAGGCTCCGACGAGGCAAAGGCGGGGGTGCGTGGAGATCAAACGCCCAGCAGCGGAAGAAAGAACTTGCAAAAGACCAGGGGGGAACTCTGGGTAAAATTCACCGAGGGCATCTGTGTGAGGAAGCAAGATGCAGCCTTCGGCCGCTTGAGAACGGCAGTGGCTCCGAACATGGTTACAGAACGACTGGCGGTGAAGAACACTTCGAGTAGGGGATGAACTACAGAACTGTTGTAGCCCAAAATTGATGGCCCTGTCGAATATACAAACACAAATGTGTAATATGCTCTGTAGATGTGCCAACATCATACGTATTGGTTTGCAGATTCGACCAGAGAACTCAGTTTGGGGTAAATCAATTCTGTATGACTGTATGACTTCTCGGAAGCCCGCTCGAATCTCACCGCGCGGCTCGCGGTTCCGGCGCCGTTTGCAACCCTGTTCCGTCGTCGTCCAGTCCCAGTTCCGATCCCAGCATCCTCAAACAGTTCTGCAGGAAAACAAAGAATGCCCTGCCGTCTCCAGGGCCTACAAATTACTGGAGTTCTGGCGAAGTCCGTGCGGACATCCCCAGGTTTCGGCTTCCGTATCATCCCCGTCCTCTTCGAAGGAAAGAACACGGGAGCTCGGGGCGGGACCAACTGGTGCTAGTCACTAAGGATAGCGCAACCCACCCCTACCCCAAACCCAAATTCCTAACTCCCGACCTGGTGATCCAGGGGGTCCTGGCTGGGGGCGGGGGTGGTCTTGTGGACCCCAAGAGCCTCCAAAGTCCCGAGGACCAAAACACCTGGAAAGATGCAAACTCCTCCCGGAAACCCTGTCCACTCCCCGGGGTCGCGTCCCTCAAAGCCCGAATCTTCGAACCACGAGTCATGTTTCCGCCCACGCTGGAGACCACCGCTAACCACGAAGAGCCGAATCCCGCCTGCGAGGCGACGAAGCATGGTGGGCGCCGGGCCCAAGAGTACTCTACGCGAGGCTGCCAAGGCAGGCACCCTTCGGGACGGACGAGGGAGGAGTCTCGGGACATGAGACGCATTGGAACAGGGGCGAAGGGAGGGAGGCCAGAGAGACATAGGGACAGGGGCGAGGGGAAAGACGCCCAAGGCAAAACGAACCAGCTGACGGAACCGGCCATCATCGGGAAGCTGCGGCCGCCCCCTCACGAGGGGGAGGCGAGAGGAGGAGGGCGCAGGCAGGAGGGCCGAGGGAGGAGTGAGAAACCATACGTGGGGACGCGGGAAAAGTGAGGAGGGGCAACGCAAAGAGAGGGAGAAAAGGACGAAGGACGGAGAGAAGAGAAATGAGCAGGCGGATGAAGGAGCAACGCGCCTACCACACATTTACACATCACCAAAACGTCCTCTACCACCTTCGTCCAAAGCGTCATCTTGGCCCTTTTGCCCTAACAGCCCGCCGTCCGCGTGTGTAGTTGAACACACTATCTTAAATCTTAAACTGTGTACACGCGTGCATACACGCATGTACATCGGAATGAAGGCTCCGAACGATCTCGCAAAATCCCTAGACGCGTGGCTGTCATGAGGATCGGTGGTGACGACTGCCGTTCTTGTTGCGCTCACTGCCGACATCTCCCACGCGCCGCGCCACCATCCGCCCCGCAACCCACCCGAAACCTACCCGTGACCCTCCCGCCCCGCGACCCGTCACGCGAGCCTCCTGCGACCCTCCTGCGACCCTCCGCGACCCGCCCACGACCAACCCGCGACCCACCCGTGCTCGCGGCGAGCTTTCTCAAACGTTGTTTCGGCCCCCCCGCCCCCTCACTCCTATCCCGTATCCGCAAAAGCGCTGACCAGAGTGCACCACGCTGAAAGAGGCGAATGGTCTAAACTCGGCGGCGGGCCCAGGAGGGAGAGGGGAAGGGGCGGACCCTCTCAGAAGGGGGGGGGGTGCCGAAACCCCTAACGGCGGCGGCCGCGCGCGATGCTCGCAGGCCCTTCAAGCATTTGCCCAATCGAAAGCCGCAGTGGCTGAGGCTGCGAGCCCTAGTTGCACATCCTTCGCATGCTTCGCGGACCCACAGGCGACTCCGTCGAGGCCGCGGCAGCAGCGGCCGCGCGCGGCACTTGCACTCCCCAGGTTCCATCAGGAGGCCCCAGCGGCATCAGCCGCGCGCGGCACTTGCGTGCCCCTCGCGCGTTCGATGGCCCGAATAAAACAACCCGCCAAAGAACCCAGCGTCAGCGGCCGCGCGCGTACCTGGGCACCGTTCGCGCGCGTCGTGGCCCCGTGGGAATCTCCGCCGAAGGCCCCAGAGGCGGCGGCCGCGCGCGGCACCTGCAAAACCCTCAGGCAGTTCGCGGCTCGACGGGGGACCCCGCCGAAGGCCCTAGAGGCAGCGTCCAGGCGCAGTATATTTGCGCAACTGTCACGCGAAGCCCCGCTGAAAGCCCCGACCCCGCTGGCACCGCTCGCGCGGCGGGCCGGGTTCATTTCGGCACGCCCCTGTCGCGCGCCCCCTGGCCCCCAGAGAAATTCCACCGAAAACTGTCCTCATAACTGCCATTGGCGGGCCCTTCGCCAAAAAATTGTTGGACAAGCGCGGGCGACGCCAGGCCCCGCGCCGCGCCGATTCATGCCGCGCCCCCGCGGCGAGAAACCCCAAAACCGAAGCATGGAAGCGGATCCCGCGCGCCGTTGCAGGACGCATGATCGCCCTGGGCTGCCATGACAGTCGGCTTTCCGGGCAAGGCCCTCGCTGCGCGCCGCAAAACACCGCTTGCGCTTGAGCGCTTACACTTGATAACACAATGTCATTGAATTTATATGTGTCGAATATGTTGTTGTTCACCCATGTTCGGAACCTTGGTTTACGGTTACTTTGAACATGTCCAACATACCGGTACCTCTCCATATTACCTTCATTCTAACGCGACGCCCCGCTTCGCCAGCCAACGGGACCTTACCCGCGACCCGCTCCGCGACCAGCGCCGCGACACACCCGCGACCTGCACTCGTGACCCACCCGCGGTCCGCCCCGCGATCTGCCTGCGACCCACCCACGACCCGCGCCGAGATACAGCCAACCCGTACAGGAAGAACGCACGATGAAGATGCAAGGGCCTCGGAAGATCAGATCGACACTCTGCGAACGGGGCGCGGATAGGATGGGCCGAAAGGGAAGGATGCAAATGGAACTTTGGAAAGTCGCTCCCCGGACTTCTGCCGGGGTGCATTATGACCAGAATTTCGAGGCGAGTCCAACCGTGTGGACGAGCGCCTCCCAGGAGGCCCAACATGGCGAACACAAGGGAGTGGTAGCGGCATCGGCACATGTTCTTCATCTGATCTGTAGCTCCCTCTTCCCTCTCCGCCCAGTCATCAGCATCATAACCGCCATCAACATCATCCTCGTCCTCATCCTCATCCTCCTCCTCCTCCTGCTCATCATCAGCGTCATGATCATCATCATCATCATCAACATCATCCGTATCATCATCATCAGCATCAGCATCGTCATCATCAGCGTCACAACCATGAGCAGCAGCATCACCACCATCATCACTATCGTCGTCAGCATCGTCATCATCATCATCATAATCATGAGCATCATAACCATCATCATGTCATCATCAGGTTCATCCTCATCCCCAACCTCATCCTCACCCTCACCCTCATCAGCATCACCATCATCACCATCAGTCTTATCAGTATCACCATCATCACCAAAGGCATCATCGTCATCATTACCAGCATCGTCATCAGCACCATCAGCAGTATCAGCAGCATCCTCAGCATCAGCACCAGCATCATCGTCACCATCATCATCATCATCATCATCATCATCATCATCATCAGCAGCATCAGCATCAGCATCATAATCATCATCAACCTCATCATCATCGTCATCGACAGCAGCAGCACACCAGCATCATCACAAGCAGCAGCAGCAGCAGCAACAGTAGCAGCACCAGCAGTAGCATCATTATCACCAGCATCATCAGCATCAGCATCATCAGCAGCAACACCACCATCATCATCACCACCAACATCGTCTTCGTCATCGTCCTCGTCAAAACATCGTCGGCAACTTTCTTGTCTCTCCATGCTCCCTCCTCCCCGACCTTATCCCCATCCAAAATCACAAAATATGAATACTACTATCCCCTCTTCCCTAAGTCTGTCCGGAAGATGTTCGGCCCCCCTCCGCGTACTGTTGTGAAGTTGGTTTTCATATGTGTTTCTGACCATCCGATTCTTTCTGGTTCTTCTAAGCGTTGTTCCCGCTGCAGCGCTGGCCCTATTTCTGCGCCACTGGTTTGTCCAGATCGTTTTCCCGCTGCAGCGCTGATGTTTTCGGTCCTTCCATACAGGCCAAACAAATATAAAAATGGCCCCCTGGGGCCGCCACTCTGGGCGTCGCGTCTGCTCTGGGAGGGCAATGTTGAAAGCAGAGCCAGCGGGTGCTGTCCATCAGCCCCGCCTGGTGTGGAGCGCTTGTCGGGGAGCCCAACGAGCTAGACATGGAGTCACGACCCCAAACCAGCCCAGACCTCTCGAAGACGATCCACTTACCCTCCAAGAAACCCGGCACCGTGCCATGACATGCTGTGCGGTGTTGTGTTCTGCGCGGTGGTGCGATGCCATGCTTTACGTTGCAATGCTTAATGATGCAATGCTTCACTGCGCGATGTCACGCCACGCTATGGCATGCTACGCTCTGCCGCACTTTTCTAGGCCATACAACTCCGTGCTCTCCATCCATCGCGTACCCTCGCGCGATAACTGCCCTGTTTGACATCCGACTGTGCGAATAGAGAGGATATCCACGCCATAACCCGGGCAGGGGGAGAACCCCCCACACACACACACACACACACACACACACACACACACACACACACACACACACACACGCACACACACACACACATAGATACATATATATATATATATATATATGTATATATATATATAAATTCACACACACACACACACCAAAACCAGACTCCGGGGATCTGGGGCTTTGGGTCCCTCTGGACGGGCCTCGAAGCGGCCCCCCCCGGCTTCGCAGGGCGTTTTGCCAAGGTTTCCCAGCACACCTAGTACGATTAGGGGGGTCATCGGAGACGTCCCAGAGACCCCCAAGACAGCACAAGAGCGCTCCAAGAGTGACCGACGTGACCTAAAGATTCAAGATGGCCCAAGAGGCCCCCAGGACGGCCCCAAAGAGGCCTCGAAGAGCACTCCCAAGAAGGCCCCACGAGGCAAACAAAACATGTTCTGTGGGTTTTTGGCGAATTTGGGGGTTCTCCTCTGTTCGGCTTCCCGACGCTCCAAGACGGCGGTCTTCTGGGCGTCCGAAGCTGCCTGGGAGGCTCCAAAATCGCCCTACAACCATCCGAAAGGGCTTCCAGGCAGTCCAAGAGAGCCCCAAAACGGCACAACACGGGTCCAAGATGGCCCTCAGAGAGCCCCATGGCGGCACAAGATGGCCCCAAGACAACATCCGAAGTATTCCAAATCGTGACCTGGTCGTTCAGGGAGACCGCGGTTGGAGGAAGGGTGGCCCGAGGAAGCCCCCAGAGGCCCCCAGAATTCGCCCATGAGGCCTCCAGAAGGCCTTAAGAAAGCCTGAAACAACTTTTGTGAGGCCCGCAGGAGGCTCTCCAAGGAGGAGTCTCCGCAAAAAAGAGCTGAGGAGGATGAGGAGCATGCGCAGGGTATTGCGAAAATTAGGAAACAGAAGCATGGAGGAAAGATAACTAATAACATTACTATAGCGACAATGCCGGAAAAGGCAACAAGGAGTTCTCGCTAAATTGTCGGCTTGACCTTCCTGCTATTCCGCCTGCATGGCACACTTCAAGGGCCAAGGTGCATGGCGCGAAGCGCCACTGCAGTCTTTTATGTACATGTAGATCTATATAATGTATAAACATGTCTAGATACGTTTATGTAGTTCTATATACTCATACATGTACACACATGGATTAGATACATACATGTATGTATCTAGATGTGTACAGCTGTATCTAGATACATAGATGTATATATATATATATGTACACAGATGTTTCTAGATACATATATGCAGTAATACATATATGTATAGACATGTAGATCGATATACAAATATAAACCAACAATCATACTCAACAAAACGTCCCCATACTATGTGTTGACTATGTTCGAATATTCCTCCTGTAGAGGGACATGCCCGAAAACATCACCACCCGCCCGAGCGCGAAATCAGTCGGCGCCTGCGGCGGGCTGTTCTGCTGAAAGGGGCCCAGGGACACACAACGAAATAGACGCAAATCCCAGGGTTCCTATATTTCCCCGTATTTTCAGGATGGTCGTCTTCCCCCCCAATCCCCTGTAACTCCCAATAGTTTCCTGGCGATCCACCATTCATTGTGTCTGTGAGTTGCTTCCCCCTCCTTACTGCCTTGGCTCTGCAAACGCCCGAGGGCCGAAACCCGCGCGCGCCCCGCGCGCCGGCGACCCCTCCCGCGACCGCCCGCGCTGCCTCGAGAGGCCATCGGCGGCCGCGGCGGGCCGCTCTGCGCCGCCTGCGAGCGGCACGGTGGCTCGACACCGCTCGCACGACCCAGCGCACGCGCACGGAGCCCGTGCAACGTACCATTCGGCGGCGAGCGAGGGGGGGAGCGAGATGGAGAAGGCCTTCTCAGAACGGCGGCGGGACTCTTCAGAAGCCCTCCGCACCCTCTGAGAAGTTTTCTGCGCCTTCGGGACAGGGAGGCTTCGGAGCTTCTGAGAAGGCCCGCCCCATCTCCCTTCCCCCCTGGGCTCACCGCCGAACCACGCTTGAACTCCCTTCCGGCCCCGTTCCGATGCGCGACGGTAAGCAATTTGACGGCTCTGAGGGGCCGAAGAACTATGCTCTTTACCATTCCTGGGTCGGGGAACGCGAGTCGTCCGCGGATAACGGCGACCCACCCGCGACCCAATCGCGTTCCACCCGAGCGACCCGCCGACGACCCATCTGCCCGACCCGCCGACGACCCATCCGACGACCTAGTCGAACAGGATTGCGCGCCCACGGCGGGCTCGCGATGAAGACGAGAATGCTGACGTGAAAAGATTGGCTCGGGATGCCTCGGCGGCCCTCGTGTCCGGAACCAGTGCGCAACGGGTCACGTCCTGGAAACCTGGGCAATCCGTGAGCACCCGCGGCGGGCCTCAGCACATGGGCCTGCGAACCTCGGTGACCCGCCGCCCTCCCACCCTCCCTTCCCCCTCTGCACGCAGCTGCGGGGGCCGTGCATCCAAAAGGACGCGCGCCGTCTGTCGGAACAGCCGCGCTGCTCTGCAGACGTGCCTCTGCTCCCCCCGGGGCGTCCGAGAGGCTCGCCGCTCCTGCTCCTCTGGCCTCCCCACCCTCGCGCCCCTCCTCGCGGCTGTCATCGGGACATCTGCCGTGTCCGCGTGAGGTCGAGCCGCCAGCCCAAAAAACGGCTGGTCGCCCGAGGAAGCAGGGCGGCTCGCCTGGCGGATCTTGGCGATGCCCGTGGCCTCGATGAATTCCGGCAGCTTGAACGGCGGCTTCTCGACGCCGCGCTTCCCGGCCATGTACTTCCGCTTGCTGCTCCAATGCCTGCCACGGCAGGGTGCGACCAGTCATAATTCAGATACTGTGCAGCAGAAGGAGGGAAAGGAAGAGGCGAGACAACACCAACCACACACGTCTGCCAGGCTGGAGCGATCCCGGATCATCCGCGATCAAAGCTACATCGGGAGTCTATGAGAGCCAGCTGGTTTGGAAGATGTATCGGGCGCCGCGGCTGTTCCAGAGCGCTCCGGAACGCTCTGAGGGCGACATGGAACATTCTGAAGCGACTCGCTCTTGTCCTGGGCCTGCCTGATGAAAACCTCTCCGAAACTCCAAAGCCGATGGAAGGCCGCCAGGGTCCTCCGAGCGGCTGCTGCAGAATCTTCGAGAGCCTCCGGAGTTGCCCAGAAAGGACAAGGCACCGCGGTGTGAGCCAAAAATACCTTGGGTCAAACTCGGTTCAGCCAAAATGGCTACGGTTGGTGGTTGGCTGGTTGGTTGGTCGGCGGGTCGCCCAGCAAGCCGCCCGCGCGCCCGCCCAACCGCTCTCCCGCGCGCCCGCCCGCCCGCCGATTCGCCCGCCCGCCCGCCCGCCCGTTCGCTCGCCCGCCAGCCCGCGCGCCCGCACGCCTGGACCCAAGGGCCTTCTCCTGGATCAGCTGTTCGTCCTGCCCGAGACCCTGGCATCGCAACATTTTTTCACAACGGGCGAATTGACCCTGACTCGGGCCCCACAGGGTCCTCACTGACCGATCCGGCTCCAGAAATGCCGCAAAGAGACGGGGTCTAGTGCTGCGGTCGTGACTTCCCGCCATGCTCCAATTTTCTGGCGACGCCCGATCTGAGGGTGAGTCCTTTCTCGACGGGCCCAAGGCCCGGGAAGGCCCCGAGATCCCGAGAACGGGACGAACCTGAGCCTTCTTGACGAGAGACCTCCTGGGAGCCCCCTGCCTCTTTCCAACCCTCGTGTGTGCTGGGCTCTCGCTTTGAATAGAGCACTTCTCGTTCGTCTCCTTTCCTGCCCCCATCTCCGTCTACCTCTTCCTGCACCTTGTGCGCCATCCTGCATCTTGTGCGCACTCGGGGCCGCAGCCTGGGAGCCTGAGAACCTCCGGTGGGTTCCCAGGGCCATCACGAGGGCGGCCGGAGGTCGCCGGCAAAGGCCAGCAGCGCCTCGGCGGCGCCCTCCGGCGCAAGAACTTGGCGGCTTCTCGCTCTCTCTGGACAGGTCCAGGCAGATCTATGTATGCGAGCAGATGCAGACCTACATCAATCGGCCAGTGAAGGCCAGTCCAGTGGATACAGTGGAGGCCAGTCCACGAGAAACCTTCCACAAGAAGCCCAACCCTGAGACCCCAGAACGTCCAATGATTTTTGGTGTGGGAACGTCCTGCTTACCATAGGAAACCATCGAAACCCAAGAAACCAAGGGCACCCTGGAGGCAAGCAGGGTGTTTCTTAGCATGGGTCTCCACTGGAAGTCCAGGCAGATCTACGCGAGCAGATCCAAATCTACATCAATCGAATGGCCCCCCCGAAACACACCCAGATTCATTTGAACCAGATCGTGAGAGGTTCGAAGCGAGTCCAGGGATACAGAAGTCCGTGGGCCGTGGACGAGAGAACGCGAGAGGTGGAGAAAGAGAGAGAGAGAGAGAGGAGGAAGAGGAGGAGGTGGAGGAGGTGGCCACCAGCGTCAGGTGGAGGTGGCCACCTTCTTAGGACCAAAGACCACCAGTGGAGGCGGAGGAGGGGAATGAGGAAGAGCAGGAGGGAGATAATGAGGTGGAGGAGGAGGAGGAGGAGGAGGAGGAGGAGAAGGAGGAGGAGGGGGGAAGCCGAGGGAAGGGTCGCGCCTCGGGACGGTGACGGTATTCCTGTACGCCTTGAGGTAAACGAGGAGCCGCGGGTCGGCCGACGTAGTGTCCCACACCTGTGGTGGCCGCCAAACACTCGAGGCATCCGCCTTCCAGTGAGAGCTGCTGTTTCAGACAACACAAACACACACGCAACCACACACACACACAACAGCAACTACAACTACAACTACAACTACAGCAACAACAACGGGAACAGCGACAACAACGACAACAACGACAACAACAACAACAACAACAACAACAACAGCAACAGCAACCGCAACAGCAACAGCAACAGCAACAGCAACAGCACCAACAACAACAACCACTACCACCACCACCACAACAAAAAAACAACATCAACAACAACAACAGCACCAACAACAACAACAACAACAATAGCAACATAGGCAGCACCAGCAACATCAACAACATCATCAACAACAACAGCATGAACAACAACAATAACAACAACAACAACAACAACAACAACAACAACAACAACAACAACAACAACAACAACAACAAACAGCAAACAACAACAACAACAACAACAACAACACCAACAACAACAACCACAACAACAACAACAATCACAACAACAACAACAACAACAATCACAACAACAACAACAACAAGGCAAAACAACCGGCTGGTGGACCCGGTGAGGGTCCACCAGCTCGCTGTTTCGCTCCTTGTGGCGAAACATCTCACTGGTGGACCCGGACCCCCCTCCCCCCCCCCCTGGCAACGCAACGCAACGCAACGCAACGCAACATATGGTGGGCAACAGAAACCAAAGGAAGCCGTTGGAAAATCCTCTGGAATCATTCGGGATCCTTAAGACAGCCGACGCACTCCCACGAGCTGAAACTATGTGCGCTCCCCCGAGCCGAAACCAACGGGCATGCTATAGAATCCTTAAGGGATGCCATATAATCCCTGAGAGAAGGCTGCAGAACCCCTAAGGGCTGCTATAGAAACCCAAAGGGATGCTGTAGAATCCCTAAAGGATGCTATACAATCCCTGAAGGATGCTATAGAATCCCTAAGGGCTGCTCCAGAATCCCTTAGGGATGCTATGGAATCCCTAAGGGACGCTATAGAACCCCGAGGGGATGCTATAGAATCCCTAAAGGCCTGTTATAAAATCCCTAAGGGCTGCTATTGAATCCCTAAGGGATGCTATAGAATCCCTAAGGGATGCCATATAATCCCAGAGTGATGCTATAGAAACCTTAGAAAGGACTGCTATAGAATCCCTAAGGGGATGCTATAGAATCCTTGAGGGGATGCTATAGAATCCTTAAAGGGATGCTACAGAATCCTTAAGGGATGCTGTAGAATCCCTGAGGGATGCTATAGAAACCTTAAAAGGGATACTATAGAATCCCTAAGGGCTGCTATTGAATCCCTAAGGGATGCTACAGAATCACCAAGGGATGCCATAGAATCCCTGAGGGATGGGATGCTATAGAATCCCCAAGGGGATGCTGTAGAATCCCGAAGGGGATGCTATACAATCCTTAACGGGATGCTATAGAACCCTTAAAGGATGCTATAGAAGCCCTGAGGGATGCTATAAAATCCCTGATGGATGCTCTAAAACACATAAGGGCTGCTATTGAATCCCGAAGGGATGCTATATAATCCCGAAGGGATGCGATTGAATCCCTACGGGATGCTGTAGAATCCCCATGGGTCCCGGCGTGTTGCCCGGCGTCCCTCAGTGGCCTGCCCCGGAGGGGGGTGGCGCATGCCCAAATGGCTTGAACCACTAATGAAGAGAGGGAGAGGAGCGTGCCCACGTCAGCCGCAAGGCCACCAGAGCCACGGGAGTCAAATCCGCCGCCGTGCTTCCTGCACGGCAGAGGCGAGTTAGAAGCTGGACCGGCACGGGAACGAAAAGAGCTTCCTATGGGGCCAGGGCCACGATCCTCGAGAGACGTGTGCCGAAATGATGCTTCCGTGGGGCTCCGTGTGGGGTCAGGGCTACGATCCTCGAGAGGGGTGTTCCGAAAGGAAAATTCGGTGGGCCTCCCTGTGGGGTCTGCGCCACGATCCTCAAGAGGGGTGTGCCGAAATGATGCTTCGGTGGAGCTCCCTGTGGGGCCAGGGCCACGGTCCTCGAGAGGGGTGTGCCGAAATGAAAATTCGGTGGAGCTCCCTGTGGGACCAGGGCGACGATCCTCGAAGTGGGTATGCCGAAATGAAGTTTCGGTGGAGTTCCCTGTGCGGCCAGGGCCGCGCGATCCACGAGAGGGGTGATAAGAAATAAAGCGTGGGTGGAGCTCCCTGTGGGGCCAGGGCCACGATCATCCTTGATGGGGTGTGTCGACATGAAGTTTCGGAGAAACCCTTTGTGAGGCCAGGGCCACAATCCTCGAGAAGAAGGTGCCGAAATGAAGTTTCGGAGGAGCCCTCTGAGGCCAGGGCCACGATCCTCGAGAGGGGTGTGCCGAAATCAAGCTTCGGAGGAGCTCCCTGTGAGGCCAGAGGCCCTATGGGATTCCTATAAGATTCCGAAATATGACTCCCATAGGATTCGTAAAAGCTTCCCGCAGAATTCCTATAGGATTCGTAAAGGCCCTTTCCTATAAGATTCGCAAGGGCCCAAAAGGATCCCCATAGGATTCCTACAGGATTCCTATAATATTCGTAGAGGCACTCTAAGATTCCTATAATATTCCCATCGGATTCCTAGAGGATTTGTGGAGATACGCCCCAAAAAAATACAGGAATCCCATTCGATTCGTAGAGGCCTTCTAGGATTCCGATGGAAGTCCTATAGGATATGTGAAGGCCCTTTGGGATTCCTATCAGATTCCTATAGGAGCCCGATAGGGTTCGTAAAAGTCCGATAGGCATCCGATGAGAATCCTATAGGAATCCGATAAGATTCGCAGAGGCCCTATAGGATTCCTATGAGTTTGCTATAGGATGTCGGGTTCCCAAAGGATTCCTATAGGGTTCGTAGAGGCCCTATAAGATGTTTTTGGGATTCCTATAAGAAGCGGAGAAGCCCTATAAGATTCCCATCGGTTTCCTGCAGGATTCCCATAGAAATCGTAGAGGCCCTATATGGTTCCCATCGGATTCCTATAAGGTCCCCATAGGAATCAGGCCCTATGGGATTCCTATGGGATTCCAATTGGACTCCTATAGGATCCGTAAAAGGCCCTCCAGGATTCCCATAGGAATCCGATCGGATCCTTATAGGATTAGTAGACGCCCTATAGAATTCCTCTGGCATTCCTATAGGATTCCTGCAGGCTGCGCAGAGGCCCTATCGGATTCCCAAAATCATTCCTATAAGATCCGTATATGACTCGTAGAGGCCATATCGGATTCCCATGGGATTCCCGTCGGAATGCGAAAAGCCCTACAAGATTCCCATGGGATTCCTATGGGATTCCCATAGGAGTCCTAAAGACCCTATAGGTTTCCTACAGGCTTCCTATAGGATTCACATCGGATTCGAAACAAGCTCGATAGGAGTCCCATCGGATTCCTATGGGATCCCCATAGGATTCGTGAAGGCCCTATAAGATTTCTATAAGACTCCCATGGGATTCCCATGGGGTTTGTAGAGGCCCTATGGGATTCCTGTGGGATTCCGATACGATTCCTATAAGGTTGACGGAGACCTTATAGGATTCCCATCGGAATCCTACAGGATTCGGGGTAACGTGCGTTGCGTTGCGTTGCGTTGCGTTGCGCCGGGGGGGGGGGGTTGGGGGCCGGCGCCAGTGAGTGTCTTCGTCAACAACAACAACAACAACAACAACAACAACAACAACAACAACAATCATTTTACCCGAACGCTCAGTGTTCTCACCAGTGCCAGGGTTTTCATGCGACGCGAGACAATACCCCCACTTCGTGGGGGGGCAGTTCAAGCTCTACCAAATATCCAAACGACTCTTCGCGACCACCCAAACCCAGCTTCCCGCCCTATGACGTTGGGACACTTCACTTCGTGGCGTGCGGGCGACCGTGGCTACTACACTGGCGTGGGGTACACACCCACAGAACTTGGTCACTTATTCGGGGCGCGCGTGTGCCCAGCATCCTGCAATTGTGACATACAATACATGACACAGACAGACAGAGAGAGAGACAGAGAGCAGACAGAGAGAGAGACAGAGAGAGCGGAGTTGGTCACATTTTTGGGGCAAGTTCCTGAGATCGTCGTGTTTTTTGTTGGTCTTGCGCGCGCGAATGTCCACTTTACTTTTTTTTTGCAAGGGAGTATTGAAATTTGATTATGTTAGAACAAGAAAAAGTAGCTCGCGCGAGCTCATGTAACATAAATGTTGGAAAACCATTGGTTTTTTTAGGATTCGGACAGCGCGCGCGGGTGGAAATTTTGAAAAGTCGTGCAGGTGTTTTTCGAGGACCTACGGTGCGATTCGTGTGATTTTATGATGCGCGGTGCTAAAATTCTTAAGAAGCCCAATGGTTTTTGGAGATTTCGGCGTGCGCGCGCGAAGAAAAAACGAATGTGTCCCGCATGGTATTATTTGACAGGGATGATGGCCCTGGCAGGTGCGCAACCGTTGTCGCAGAAGTTCGAAAAAGTTGCTCGCAAAAGCCCGTTTGACAGAATTGTTTAAAAAGTGTTGGTTTTCCTACGAATCCGCAAGAGCGCGCGGAAGACATTTTGACAATTTTTTCTTAAAAAACCATTGGGTTTTTGATGTTTTTATGTTAAAATCGTTACGAAACCTAAGGTTTTGGAAGGATTTCGTCTTGCGCGCACGAATGTCCACTTTACCTTATTTTTTGCAAGGGATTCTTGCAATTTGATCAAGTAAGAACAAGAATTTTCATTTTATAGTGTTTTTTGCAAGGGAAAACGGATTACAACAAAACAACCGGATCCGGACACAATCCACTTTTCTGAAGCTTTCGCTAGAAAATGAAGGAAATGAGGCTGCGGCCTAGGTTTTGGAGGGGGGTCGCGCACCAGGGGTCTCAACAATAATATTTCTTTAGAAGTAATAATGTTCAACAACAATCAACAACAACAGCAATACCATCAACAACAACAGCAACAGCAACAACAAAAACA